GTTCTTTACCACCAAACTTGCAGTAATTAGTTCGAGCAGTCTCAGAAAAGGAATAGAGGTTTCTTCTCCAGTTTTAAAACTTCCATAAGATACAAGGTGGTCCAGTGTTTACAACAGTCCACCATAAATGAAGCAAAGAAGACAAATTGATCATTTTTCCTCCCACGAACCTAAAGGAGTTCCTCTATCATGGGACATTTGATACCCTTGAGGGATCCACTCAGTTTTTCTACACATGAACACAGAAGTCACATTTATGCTATGCTGTGCTAAAGTGAGCATTCCGAGAAGTTCATATCATGGTCACTTTTTAAGCAAGGCACTCAAAGGGAGGAGTCAGACTGAACAAGGTTATTATATTTTTCAGCATAGAGAGAAGATTCAGCTGTTTCAGAAGGCCAAATGAGAATGTTAAATGTCTCTAAAATGCTACAGGTGCCAACATTCAGACAAGAGTAGTTTGGGTGTTTCTGCTCATCTCTAATATCAACTAGAAAAAATAATATCACCTCAAAAATAAGTTTTAGTGTCATCTCTTCATACAAAAAAGACGTTTGCCTTTAAAACTGTTATTGTGGGTTTGTTTGGTTTGTTTTGATTTTAAGATATGAATGTTTCAATTTTATTAACCATTGGGTAATACTGTCCATGGTCTAGAAATTTATAAAAATTTAATAATTTGCAAGGTAGAAATTTTTACCTTCAGGCATAGTGTATTGTACTCTGTGTGTTAGAATCTTTTTTCTTTCTGAATATGTGTTACCTATGAATCTGCGAAGTCATAATTAGAGTAAGGAAATGTCCAAGAAGTAAATTATGAATAAATCATTCAATTTGAGTATATTTGCAAAGAGCAGATATTGAATAGCATTTCTTTTAATATCAAATACAAGTGTTGGGTATTCATACGTTATTACTAAATATGGATATAGAAGTTATATTTCAAAAGGAGTTTGCATTTGACCTAAATAAGAAATCAGGAAGTTGGCTAAATATGCTCTCCAAATTGCACTTCTGGCACAAAGAAAGGAGTATTCTAAATTCCTAAACATCCTTTCCTTAATTGCATAATAGACATGATTCTCTAAAAAGTCTGAATGCTATTAGAGCTCCGTTGCTAGGATGAATTTATTCCAAACTGGTGCATAATTCAAAAATGATTTATGGCAAGCGCTCAACAGGATAAATGCTGTGACCACTGCAGGAGGTGTGTTGCCTTGTGAGATTCTACAAAAAGGCTTCTTCTTTCGTGAGCTGCAACTTCAAGTTACATTTTGTCACAGCCATAACTTCTGGAAATCAGGACCACCTACCCACGTCCTCTCCTAAAGTTACACAAAACTACTCCACCAAAGATAATTATACACAAGTAAAAATAGCACAGATAATGTCATGGAGTTTCTAATTTCAAAAATGGTATCTATATCACTCTTTTTTATTATAAATATTTAAGTTATTAATGTTTTAAACTATATTATCATTTCTTCTGAAAAAAACAGCTTCTTTTATATTCTGACATCAGTCATTAAAATTAAAAGTAATTGGGTTACCAGTAATAAATTTATTAATATTTATAAAACTATCAAACCTAATAGATCTTATTTTCACAGGACCAGGCTAGATGAAATTTCAGTGTTTTAAAAAGTTAAAAGTGAATTCTATGGACACAACAACAGAAGAGTGCTCAAGAATAATATAAGGACTTGAATCTCAGGACGTGAAAATCAGGAGATTTTCTATTGCAATCTTTCTGTTTATTTTGAAGTTGCTACATTTGTACTTCGGAAGGTGTATTCATGTCTAAGACATGCTATCCTTATCTATCAATAAAGAAATTTTAAAACTCCAGTTAATTGGATAGAAAATAATATGCTCCCATATGAGTAGATATGATCCTATATTTGATAAAAACTTAAATTCCTTCTAGGGGAAAATGTGTGTAAACATGTAATTAAATCATCTACAATAAGGTAACTCCATTGGAGAACAACATTCATAGCCTGGTGAGCTTAAATCTTAAGACCATTGTCTAAGAGATGGAAACAGGTGAGATTATAGCAAGCAAATCAAACTATTCACAGCCCTTACAGAAGCTGCTTAACTCTAATAGATTCCCAACCTCCTCCTATTTACCCTCTTCATGAAACACCACCCCACCTTTTCAGTGCAATGTTTAGTAAACTTGACGAAAATCCAGGTTTATGGCTTCATAATACATTGCGAAGAACAAAGAGGCAAAAGGCATGACTCAAGAGAATGCCACCAAAACTGAAATGCATAAAATGATCTGACTTGAAAGATGAATGTCTAATGATGAGCCAAGTTGGAGCTACTTTCCATGTCTCTTTTCATCAATATTTTGTAATGTGTATGATGGGAAGACTTCTCAAGCGCAGCATGATGTTTGATATCTGGGTCGAAGTATACAGACTTATTTTATTCATTTCAGTTACTACAAAGTTATTTTATGATGTCATGTGAGTGTTGCTCCATTGAGATTTTGAAGGCATCATCTATTTTAAATATTGCTTTCATCGATAAGTGTGTATTACTTTTGCCTTTACAATTAAGGCAAAATTAGAACCGGATCATGAATACTTTTAAATGAGTAAAATGTGCAATTGTATTCTTTGATTGGGCAACTTTTTTAAAAGCAATAGAAGCCTATCAAATATAGAAAAATATTCATGTGGTTAATTAGAAAAATCCATATGAAATCATTGATATCACATGTGCTCAGATCTTTTGCTCATCACACTTGAATGTTTCAGCTATTAAATATACCAAAAGTTTAATTTTGCATATAAGGCAACAAAAATTTCAAAGAACAGTGAGGCGATTAATTTTATCAGCCTGACTAGATGGAAAGACACCTACAGCAGGGAAGCATAATTGTGCCTTAGGCTGTGAAGGTATCTCCAAGTCTGACTGTGCAAACTACATTAATGGCAGAAGAAAAACTGCACCCCATCCAACATACTGGGGCCTGAATTTGGGACCAGGATTTAATAGAAGATTTCATCAAAAATGGTTATGCTCTGTCTTGTTTCTCTGTTTCCAAGCCACCACCACGCAACTCTTTCTACCAACCTCCCCTCCATGATGCTCTAAATTCAGCTGCCCTAGAACCAGCAGGCCATATATCTGACTGAAACCGTAAGACAAAATAAATACTTTCTTCTAAGTAGCTTTTCTAGGGCATTTGTCCCAACGACAAGAGAAAAAAAAAAAGTGATTGGCAAAAGAACATTTGATCAACTAGTTAAACCTGAATTGCTCAAGCTTCAATGGATGTTACCAATTCCTTTTTCAAATGTCAAATTTGAGTTTAGAATTTTGGGCAGTGGGATTCAGTAGGATGAGAAGCAAATAACCTAAACAAATGGCAAAGATAATACTTGGCTGACAACTAGGTCATTTTTTGCTATTAATATATGTCTTCTACATATAATTTCAATTATTTGGAGTCTAAATGATTTCTCAGTGTATTAGGAATGTTTGCTGTACAAATAGTTGGATCTAAGTTTAAAGCCCAACACACACACAAAAGTTAGATGTGGTGAATGGGACATAAGGAAGAGTGGCCTTGCCGACTGTCTACTTAGCACAAGGTTCGAAGAAAGACTGTCAAAAGACTATGGCAGAAAGTTATACAATTTGACACCAAATGTCATCATTTGGCCTACACACACACATACACACACACACACACACAAACACACACACACACACACCTGCAACCACAAATGCAACTTTATCATTCACACAAACTTAACATCACATTTACATATACACATTTATTTATACAGACAGTAAAAAAAAAGGAACTTTTTGGAACACTGATAAGAACAGTACTAAATATAGAAATAGGATAAAACCAAGCAGAAATGATACTTGATAAATATTCACAAAATTGAGTTTCAGGTATTGATATAAGAAATTAATGTGAATTAAATTCAAGGAATTTTAACCCAACAACTGAATGTGACCAGATGTCAATGAATACATTAAAACATAGAAAAGGAAAATGTTCAAAAGAAGAAGACAATGCTGATAGAAGTTCAGAAAAAAAAAACTATTTAGCTTCAGTTGGTGGCAAACACTTCTAACTCAGCACTTCTGGAGGATGAGGCAGAAGGATTTTAAATTGGGGCCAGTTGTGCTATGTCTGAAAGGAAAAAAGAACTCTCTTTCGGCCAAGAGATATCTGGTGTTTTAGTTGTGTTGCATAACATCTGTATCTCCTCCTTAAGCAAGAGAGATAAATGTTATATAATTTAATCATTATGTTCATCTGTACAAAGCTCTGGCTCTTTCCTGGTGAGAGCCAAAAGTGGGCACAGACATAGAAACAAACATGAAAGAATTAACAAGCATCTCCAAGTGACATAAATCAAATGAGCTACGTTTTGGTGTGATCTATGATCACTTAGGATGCATCAATATGCACGTGCTCTCTCCAATACGCTTTCACCTACATGTCTTCAAAAGTCTTAAAAACCTTCCTTTAAATGATTCTAATTAAATGTATTTGTTTGAAAAATAAATGCAGTTTTGTTTTTTTTTTTTTGCTTCTGTATCTGTATTCCTGAATTATTTTGGAATAAAAATTGTTCTAAATCTAAGCAAGAGGGTTTGATTAATTTACGTATACCTCTCATCAATTGACCTTGGGAAGTTACTGGTACTTCCTGAGCTTCTAATTTTCAGTTTAAAAAACAAAAAACTCTAGGACCTGTAATTTTTGTTTTATGAGATTTGTGGGGGGTAATTCAAATGACTTTTAGCACTTTAATCAATTAATCTCATGTCATTTTATTTTTGCAAAGGAAATCATAGTAATCATGATGCGATTTTCGAATAACCCCTTATCAGAATATTACCTCAGTGTTTGTAAAACGAAGCCAAAACATGTAAATGCCATCGCAATGATGGCGATGTGTAAAATCTGTAATATTGGTTGATATTTAATGTTTTGGAACATATAATCGCACTCTTACCTGTTGGTGGAATTATTCCAGGAGACATGAGGCCAGGGACAGAATGTGGCATGATATGCGAGTTCTCTGGGGAGGTGACACTTTGAGTCCTCTTAGGAGGCCTTCCAGGTCTGGAACTGAGACAAACAAACAAAAAATTTTACAATTAAGCTGTTGTCTGACACATCATTTCAAAGTTGTTTCAAGTGGTAACACGGACTGTAAATAAATTTGTTTCAAGGACGGTTGCTTTTGCAGTTAGATGTAATAGACTTCCATCACTAATTAGATTACATGCTGAATTCATTTTCCTCATTGAAGATCAGCCACTCCTGATGCATAATTCATAGCCTGTACCTCGTTACCTGCTTCTTCATATTAATATCTATACACAGTTTGAATTGCCTCGTTTGCATATGCTGAAGTTCTGCATTCAGCCTTCAGCGTGAAAATTATGCACTAACTTGTAATAATTATTACAGTCAGCCTGCTATTGATTTATGAGACTTTTAAAAACCAAATATGTGTAGTACTTGTAATGAATGATATTTTAAGGTTCTTCAGGAAATTAAAAGGCAATGGCTGCCTAAGGAAATGTTCTGCTTGTTTGATTTAATACTACAGTTAGCTGGGAGGTGGAAGGAAAGAATGATTCAGACCTATAGCACATTTTTCGATGATATGTTTTATTACTTCGCACTGCTAGCCTGATATCTAGATGATAAATGACAATGCATCTCTAATGTGTGAAAAGGTCTTGCAATTTCTTTATTTTTTTGTCATTTAAAAGATAAGTCAAGTTATCATTTAACCCTTATTCTATTTAACTGAGCAATCCCACAAAGTCGTCCTATTTTTAATATACAAGAGCAAATTGGAGAGGCTTGGGATTGTTTGTAGGGCATATTGAGAAACTGCTTATGTAGCATCTTAAATTTGCCCTTAGAAAAAAATAAAAATGTGCTTGTTGTTAGCACTTCCTGTCCTTCTCACGCACCTTAGAGAAGATTAATTTCTTAAGTTTCCAAAGCATATATATAGTTAAGTATTTGCTATTTTTGTCAGAAAATACCACCAAAAATGGAGTATTTACAGTCCTTTGAGACAAATAAGAATAGTTTGCATTATGTTCTTATTTTGCCTCAGTGTTATGAATGTGCTTTTGATAGACCCTCCATTATTTATTTGACTAACATATGCCTAGATATATCCAAAGCAACAGATATATCTATCCTTTCTCCTCAAGCATTCTTATGTTTGGCTCTGCTGAACTTCCTTGCTTCATCAACAGATTTAAAAAAAAAATCAAAAACTTTCTTTTATTTTATGTAAGTAATGTATGTGGTCATTCAGTGAATAATTGCTAAGTCCCTGCTGTTTTCAAAGCAGTGTGCTATGGGGGCTAATTTGGAGGAGTGAGTCCTTCATCTTCAAGAGTTTATATTCTTGCCAAGAGGGAAGAACTTATCTTGTTCATAAATAACTGTGATGTAAATCATAATGTGTTAGGTCACATATGGAAGCTGTAATCTCTGTACTAATAGGTGATGAGACTTTCATTTTCAGGAAAGAAAGACGGCAGGGGAAACATTAGAAGAAAATTTGAATGTATGTTAGATGTATAAAAGAACAGCACACTTCTCAAAGAAATAAAGCCACAGAAATCATCGATGTCCAGTATTACTTCTGTTGAACTGACATAACTCAAAGAGCAAGAGGAACACAGTTTGAAACTGCAGGACTTAGAGCCCAGCAGTAGATCCTGGAGACCTTTGGAATGAGAGCACAGAGCTTACTTGCAACTTTATCTGTCTTGCAAATCAATATGGATACCCTCCTGCTTATTGCTCTGGTGTAGCTCTCCAGCCACTTACTCTTATTCTTCACTGTGATTCTCCTGACTTTTTAACTGATCATTTGCTGGGGATCGATCAACAGTGCTCTGTTGTAAACTCTTCCATTGTCATCACTTAGATGCTAGGACTAATGGCTAAACATACATCTACAGCCCAGATCTTCCTTTGGGATGCCAGACAGATTGATGCCCATCTAGTCGACATCCCTGATTAGATGTTCTATAATAATCTCAGACTCAGCTTATCCAAATCTGAACTCAGCATCTGCCCCATTAAAACCTATTTCTCTTTCTCTTGATCAGCAAAATGGCACCTGACTAAGCCAAATGTCCATACTTGGATATATCTTTTCCTCATTTGCATGCTTAAATATGATCTCTCTGAAGATATCTCCTTATGTTCTTGTCTCTGTCCCACTTCTCTTCCAGATCATTCTTTATTTTTTTTGGTCCACTGTTACAGATTTTCTAAGAACTAGTTAGTTCCAGTCTAGAGCCTCATTTATAGATAGCACTCCAAAATAATTTCAGAGGAATATTTCTTCTATATATGCATATATACACATATATACATATATATACATACATATTTGTCAGTGTATCACATTTGATTAAAAATATTTTTCTTATTCGATTCACTCTCTAATATTTGGCCCAATCTTCTTTTCTAGTTTTACTCTTTTATTTCACCATTTATATATTGTCTTTCTTTCTCTTTAAATTTTTATCTTTATCTTTTGAAAGATTACACTATGTGTCTGAAGCATGACTTTGAACTCACTTCACACTTCCTTAACCACCCTTTCCCCAACCCCCAAACACACATGCTAGGATTACAGATCCTGTACCACCACACTGATCTGAAAAATGGGTGGCTTGGGTTTTTTATAAGGGTTGCCTCTGTTACAATTTTTACAAAGAAAAAAAAAATCCTTCTCTCTGCATTACCTCGCTAAGTCCTACACATTGTTGTATGTCAGCACTTCAGGTTTCAGGCTGTGCTTTTAAAAACAATGCAGTCATTGGGTATTACACTATTAACATTCTATCAGTCCATATCGCATACATCTGCAAATCTGTTGTACTCTCGGAACTTCACGGCAGACAAGCCAGTATTTAACACTTTTTATTTTTCGAAAATATTTTGATTTTTTTGTTATTCTTCTTTCCCCACCCACCAGACTTCACAAATACCCTGCCCTGTCAATTCCAAAGATAAAAGAAGAAGAAGAAGAAGAAGAAGAAGAAGAAGAAGAAGAAGAAGAAGAAGAAGAAGAAGAAGAAAAGGGTTCTGGAATATATAATAAAGAAAAAAGGAAGAAAGACACACACTCAAAGGCTGTAATTTGGAGAAAGTATGGGCATATTCTACCGGTATACCTCAAGCATGAGTAAGAAGATATACAGTTGGGGGTAGCCATGGAGAGAATAGGAAAGAAAAGGAGAGTTCAAAGATTTGAACTTTTCGCCCTTTGACTTGTTTTGCTTCTAAAGAAAATGAAACTGCTGAGGAGTACTTCATTATTCAGGCAACAGGAGCTGTCCTCATACCTTTCACTTTGGAAGCAAAAGTCAGGCTACCACTAAGTAGGAACACTTTAATTCACGCTGTGATTAGAATAAACCCAGTGGGCTCCTTTCACCACAGACATCACCTGCCCAATCTATCACATCCCATGAAATTCCACCAATAGAGATTTATTGCTCTCAGACTGGATGCTTGAAGTTCTTTTAAAGCCTTCCATTAAAATGCAAATACCCTTGGTGGTGGTAACACCCTAAGGCCATCAACTAACACCTACTGGGGATTACTTTACAATTACAGGAGTAGAAGCCTGGAGACACTGAGGCCAAGAGCAGAACAACTGTTTTATAAGAAAGGAGTTAAAGATGTCAGGTTTCCCTAAATACTAGGGTACTGGTTGCCTTCTCTGAGAATCAGATAGAACTTCTTCTTCTTCTTCTTCTTCTTCTTCTTCTTCTTCTTCTTCTTCTTCTTCTTCTCCTCCTCCTCCTCCTCCTCCTCCTCCTCCTCCTCCTCCTCCTCCTTCTCCTTCTCCTTCTTCTCCTTCTCCTTCTTCATTGAAGAAAAGTAGAAAAATGTATTTACAACAAAGACTATTGCTATCCCTTTATTATTTATAGTAGGGTCCTTTACTGAGAAGCTTATATTGTACTCAATGAAATTTGAACACTAACTTCTAGAGACCATTAATTTCTCTAATACTCTGAGGGAAAAATCCTTATTGCAAATACTTAATGTTTAAATGCTTTCAACAGAAATTTAAAGAACTTTCAAGAGATCATATGCTAGTGTGAAGGCCAGAAGTACACAATGTTACTGTCTAAATAGATATACCTGAATACAGGATTAATTAATTTACCATACAGCATAATCTTATTCAAATTACCTAACTGCCCAGAACAGCTAATTAAATTACCTTATTGTCATACACTGTCTAGATATGCTTTTGGAGATCAGTTATTCTTGAAAAGAGAAACAAAAACTCAACTGAACAAAGAAAGCAAAACAATCTGCAAAACTATGAGTATGTGCATTAATGACAGCTACATCCATCCTAGATTTTACCACAGTAGAAACAAATGGTCAAAGTCTGCTGAGCTGTCCTGCATCTAATCGAAAGGAAGACATCATTCAAATCATTAGCCATTGTAGCTTGTATGCAATCATAACCAAAGACTTCCTTCTTGTCTCTCTCAGTTCATCATCTCTTAGCCACAGTACGGACTTTGATATTTTTAAAAGGAGGACAACAACTTCGAGATGTCCAGACCCCCACTTCACACCTCCGATATTTAGAAACACACACTTTTATGCAGTTTTGAATAAGCAGGTTTTCTTTTCAGATGAATAACTTTTAACAATCTTCTTTCTTGTCTCTCTCTGACCGTACAAAGTATACAGACACTTCATTGTCCATTTGTTCCCAGGGCTCTAGGGCACAGGGTCTGACTTCAGGCACATTTATGATGTTTATACAAGGAGAGTCAAAATTCAGCTTTAGAAGAAGAAGTCAAAGTGATATGCAGCTAAGTGCATTAAAGGAATTAGAGTCATTGGCAATGCTGGCAGGGGGCTCCTTCACAGATGTTTCAGTCAACAGACGTCCTAGGGCTAATGTCTTCAACAGCTTTTGAGAAAGCTTTTGAGAAATTTTGGTGACTGATTATCGATATGAAAATAGCTTCCCAGCCTTCACCCTCCAAAAGGAGGTAAGCCCAACCTGTTTATATAGGTTCCTATTATTCTATCACTCTTTC